AATCGGCTGAAATTCAAGCCATGGGTGGCCCCCAGACACAACCAGCTTCAAATGACAAATCAAAGGAGCAGGGCACAAAAAAGTCAGCCAGACATTGACTGCAGCGGGAGATTTGTCCACCCACATGTTTGGCGTCAATGGGGGAATCTATGGATTTCTCTTGTTAAGCCCGTCTTTGCTATGGCTCGAATTTTGGGCAATTCGTGCAAATTTTCTAAAATCTGAAGCATAGGTGGACACCCCGCCCAACACAACAAACTTCAATTGAAAAATAAAAGTAGCCAGGTGAAAATAAATTTTTTTGACTAGTCTAATGTCGCTGACCAGTCTCCACATAGCTTCCAGCCTATTCCTGTTCTCCCTAATGGGGCCATCCTAAGGACCATTGACATTTTGAAGCAAGGTACCCTGGGGGGTGTCTGAAATCACTGGCCCATGGTTCCCTGACTTGGGATGAGCTCACGTCACCTACCAATGGGGAATACAGTAATAAAATTACAGGTGTACCTTGCACTTGGCCAGAGGTCCCTTTGTAGTCTGTATTTTGACCAGTTTAGTGCCGATGACCAGTTTCCACAATGCAGCCATCCTGTTTCTGATCTCCTTGGTGGGGCCATTCTGAGGGCCATTGACATTCTGCAACAAACTAGCCTGGGTGTCTCTAGGGTCACTGGCTCATGGCTCTATGCCTTGGGTGAACCCACATAACCTGCCAAGGAGGAATCCAGTAATAAAATTACAGGTGTACCTTGCATATGACCAGAGGTCCCTTTGTAGCCTGTTCCTGATTTCCTTGGTGGGGCCATCCTGAGGGCCATTGACAGTTTGCAACAAAGTTACCTGGAGATCTCTAGGATCATTGACCCACGACTCCTTGACAGGTGAAAAATAGTCTGCAAGCAGCCAGCATTAGAAGATTCTTCCACCCGTGTGGGATGTTGTCCATCCAGCACGGATGGATTTCTCTCATTAAGCCAGCTTCACTATGGCCAGTTTTACTACCCCTGTAACAAGACAACTACACCTCCCATTTGTGGTCTGGTGACTGGAAGTTCGGAATACCTCCTCTGTGGGGTCACTGACTGAAATAAAATCCAGAGAGAAGTTTTTACTCTCCGTACTCTATAAAAAAAATGGTTGGAGCACTGCGTTATCATCCCCTTACACTTCCATGGAAATAAATGCATCCAACAATTGAAATGTATTTCACAGTAGGAACCAAATACCTTCCGCTCTCAATCTTCAGAGTCAAAGAAAGCCCAACACATGGGGGAATATGAAGTCTTTTGTTGATGCAAATCAATGCATTACCTAGAAAGAACAATGGCTCACATTAACATCAACTAAACAGATATTACAATGGGATAGAGAATGTGACTTCTTTGTTTCTTCAGCTCTGATGAAGTGGATGTCATGTCACAAAACATGATTCTGAAAAATACAAGTAATGTCAAGCGATAAGTACAGAGTGTCTGCTGTAATTGCCGGGTTTAATTGTTCATTCTGACATTCCCCAGTGCTCCGGTAACCACAACTGGTCCCATGCTGAATACACAAGTGTTGATATAGATGGCAATTCAAGGAAATTTAAAATAACAGCTCTCTATGGCTTAGGAAAAATGTTTAAAAGGAAAAGTTAAAAGAGTAAAATGTATAGTGTAGGAGTGTATCTGTTAGGGATCAAAAGATGCTCTCACTCATAAACCAGGCTTTCTGATAGTTATTCCTCTAAATGTAGCACTCTCTTCGATTGTGATGACCCATGGCTTCCTGTCTTGGCCACGTCACCTGCCAATGGGGAATCCAGTAAGCCATCCTGTTTCTGATTTCCTTGGTGGGCCATCCTGAGGGACCTTGACATTTTCTAACAAAGTAACCTGAGGGTCTCCAGGGTCACTAATCCATGACTCCCTGCCTGGGGTGAGCCCACATCACTTGTCAAGGGGGAATCCAGTAATAAAATTTCAGGTGTGCCTTGCACTTGGCCAGAGGTCCTTTTGTAGACTGTATTTTGACCAGTCTAGTGCTGCTGATCAGTTTCCACATCGTAACCATCCTGTTTCTGATTTCCTTGGTGGGCCATCCTGAGGGACCTTGACATTTTCCAACAAAGTAACCTGGGGGTCTCCAGGGTCACTGATCCATGACTCTCTGCCCAGGGTGAGCCCACATCACTTGTCAAGGGGGAATCCAGTAATAAAATTTCAGGTGTGCCTTGCACTTAGCCAGAGGTCCTTTTGTAGACTGTATTTTGACCAGTCTAGTGCTGCTGATCAGTTTCCACATCGTTTCTGATCTCATTGGTGGGGCCATGCAGAGGCCATTACCAATGAGCAACAAAATAGCCTGGGATCACTAGGATCTAGGATCACTGGCCCATGGCTTCCTGCCTAGGGTGAGCCCACATAAAGGAGGAATACAATATGAAAATCACAGGCGTGCCTTGCACATGGCGAAAGGTCCCTTTGTAGTCTGTATTCAGACGAGTCTAGTGCTGCTGACCAGTCTCCACAACGCAGTCTTCCTATTTCTGATTTCCTGAGGGCCCTTGACATTTTGCAACAAAGTAGCCCGGGGGTCTCTAGAGTCATTGACCCATGGTTCCTTCCCTGGGATGAGCCCACGTCACCTGTCAAGGGGGAATCCAATAATAAAAATACAGGTGTGCCTTGCACATGGCCAGAGGTCCTTTTGTAGACTGCATTTTGACCAGTCTAGTGCCACTGACCAGTCACCACATCGCAGCCATCCTGTTTCTGATTTCTTTGGTGGGGCCGTCCTGAGGGCCCTTTACATTTTGCAGCAGAGTAATCTGGGGGTCTCCAGGGTCACTGATCCATGACTCCCTGCCTGGGGTGGGCCCACATCTCTTGTCAAGGGGGAATCCAGTAATAAAGTTACAGGTGTGCCTTGCACTTGGCCAGAGGTCCCTTTGTAGACTGTATTTTGACCAGTCTAGTGCCGCTGACCAGTCTCCACATTACAGCCATCCTGTTTCTTATTTCGTTGGTGGGCCATCCTGAGGGACCTTGACATTTTCCAACAAAGTAACCTGGGGGTCTCTAGGGTCACTGATCCATGACTCCCTGTCTGGGGTGAGCCCACATCACTTGTCAAGGTGGAATCCAGTAATAAAATTATAGGTGTGCCTTGCACTTGGCCAGAGGTCCTTTTGTAGACTGTATTTTGACCAATCTAGTGCTGCTGATCAGTTTCCATATCGGAACCATCCTGTTTCTGATTTGTTTGGTGGGGCCGTCCTGAGGGCCCTTTACATTTTCCAACAAAGTAACCTGGGGGTCTCCAGGGTCACTGATCCATGACTCCCTGCCTGGGGTGGGCCTACATCTCTTGTCAAGGGGGAATCCAGTAATAAAATTACAGGTGTGCCTTGCACTTGGCCAGAAGTCTCTTTGTAGCATGTTCTTTGACCAGTCTCCACATCTCAGCAATCCTGTTTCTGATGTTCTTGCTGAAGCCATCCTGAGGGCAATTGACATTTTGTCTCTAGGGTCACTCGCCCATGACTAACTACCTTGGGTGAGCCCATATCACCTGCCATGAGGGAATCCAGCAACAAAAACTACAGGTGTGCCTTGCACTTGGCCAGATGTTCCAAAAGAGGCTCCATACCCCCAAAAATAATACTTTTCATACAAAGGCAATACAATCTCCCAACAAAAAACATTCAAGAAGACATTTAACTGTCAGTTGCTCCCATGTTCCATAGCAAGACAAACCAAGCAGGAGAAAGCTCCATGGCTTAAAACAATGTAATTTTTCCCAAGGGGAGCCCATGTAATATTTATCAAGGTTTACTCCGGAGCTGCCACTTTACCGGCTCTCCAGGCTGAAAACATTCTTAATGCAGCGTAATTAATTTTAAATCAGCCGTCAATTATGCATAGCCACAAATGTGGAAAATCCAGTAAACACATAAACGAGCGGGAGAAGGATTGCATGACCGCACCGTAGAAGACACACAATTACGTCGATGGCTAAGCTGTAATATAGAACTAGTTTTGCTTAAAGGTGCACCAAAGGGGGTGGAGAGTTCACTGGGATCCCCATTATCCGTAGTCCTCCTCCTCCACTTTTCCAGAATCGCTTGACTGTAAAATTTTTGCCTTGGCAATTAATCTCTTACCTTTTATTATATTAGGATCATTTCACTAAGATGGATGTTATTTGAAAGCAAACCTTTACCATGCCCACTCTAGGCAAAAGATTTGCTTTATATCAGACACAATGAGCATCCTATAAATAGGTATTGAACTTACAATGTAACAATAATAGGCTGGCGTATCTGATGTTCCTGATTCCGAGGAGCCAGAAAAAAATCATAAAATAGAGGAAATTGCTCAACCCTCTGTGAGCCAGCAATAGAACTTAGTTAAAGTGTTACTAAACCCAGGACCCTGCATTCACTATATCCGCTCTCCCCGGACCCTGCATTCACTATATCCGCTCTCCCCGGACCCTGCATTCACTATATCCGCTCTCCCTGGACCCTGCATTCACTTTATCCGCTCTCCCCGGACTCAGCATTCACTATATCCGCTCTCCCCGGACCCTGCATTCACTATATCCGCTCTCCCCGGACCCTGAATTCACTATATCCGCTCTCCCCGGACCCTGCATTCACTATATCCGCTCTCCCCGGACCCAGCATTCACTATATCCGCTCTCCCCGGACCCCGCATTCACTATATCCGCTCTCCCCGGACCCCGCATTCACTATATCCGCTCTCCCCGGACCCCGCATTCACTATATTCGCTCTCCCCGGACCCCGCATTCACTATATCCGCTCTCCCCGGACCCCGCATTCACTATATCCGCTCTCCCCGGACCCCGCATTCACTATATTCGCTCTCCCCGGACCCCGCATTTACTATATCCGCTCTCCCCGGACCCCGCATTCACTATATCCGCTCTCCCCGGACCCCGCATTCACTATATCCACTCTCCCCGGACCCCGTATTCACTATATCCGCTCTCCCCGGACCCTGCATTCACTATATCCGGTCTCCCCGGACCCTGCATTCACTATATCCGCTCTCCCCAGACCCTGCATTCACTATATCCGCTCTCCCCGGACCCTGCATTCACTATATCTGCTCTCCCCGGACCCTGCATTCACTATATCTGGTCTCCCCGGACCCTGCATTCACTATATCCGCTCTCCCCGGACCCCGCATTCACTATATCCGCTCTCCCCGGACCCGCATTCACTATATCCGCTCTCCCCGGTCCCCGCATTCACTATATTTGCTCTCCCCGGACCCTGCATTCACTACATCCGCTCTCTCCGCTCTCTCCGCTCTCTCCCCGGACTCCGCATTCACTATATCCGCTCTCTCCGGACCCTGCATTCACTATATCTGGTCTCCCCGGACCCTGAATTCCCTATATCCGCTCTCCCTGGACCCTGCATTCACTATATCTGGTCTCCCCAGACCCTGCATTCACTATATCTGGTCTCAGATTTTGGGTGTCAGATTTTTTGTGTTGTCTGGGGCAGCACAAAACCTAAATACACCACTGGATACCCACAATGTGTTAGTGAAAGATCAATTCAAGTGGGTGATAGAACATAATTCATTCTGAGGGTAATTCTAGATCCTCTTGGGAACATCTGTGAAGATGAAATGCGTCGGAAAGGGCTTATGCTGACATCATCATGCCGCTCGCCTGGTGGTGGTGGTGGTGGTGGTGGTGGTGGGGGGGGGGGGGGGGGGGTAGGTGCCCAATTTTAGTGTTGCCTAGGGCAGCACGAGAGCTAAAATACACCACTGACATTGGGTGTAAAAAAGCTCCATAGCTATTCATTACCCGATTCAGCTCCTCTGTAGACTTACTGTAAATTCATTCAGAAAGTCAGCAGCACATTCTAACTGCGATTCTGGAGGTTGGGTTGCTCCTGGTTGAGGAAATTGAAGTCTAATCATTATTTCAAAATATGCACATTTTAATGTTCTATTCTGAAAGAAAAAAAATATGTGCCATGGGTATTACTAGAAAAAAAAAAAAAAAAACATGAAAGGCGCATGATTATTCTTCAAAGGAAAATTACAGCTGACTCAAAGAACATCTAGGAACTACCATTTTTTTAAATGGCTTTATAATGGCCTTTGCCTACCTTTGAAAATCAATTCTTTTTCTGGGCAGCCAGTCCTTGTCAGTGTCAGCAAGCTGCTGTCTATAGAGCAGCTATACTCCTAAAACATGACTCCACTTTTGCTTAAAAAAAAAACAAAACAAAACGTAATCTTTACCTGCGCAAATACACACGTTGCAAGAATTTTAGCAAAATTTTATTGCCCAGTCCTATCGGCTGCCATTTATACTGAAACTCACGCCCGGGTTCCTCTCAATTGCTTCTTTCACTGAACACTGTGTGCTGATTGTGATGGACTCCCTTCTGTTGTATATAGGTTTTTGGAGGATGAGGATCACTAGCGAAATCACCACCAGGAGAAAGGAGGTCCTGATTCCATTATATAGATCTTTATATCACTAGAGGGGTCACCGGCAGGAGGAAGGAGGTCCTCATTCTTTTATATAGATCTTTATATCACTAGAGGGGTCACCGGCAGGAGGAAGGAGGTCCCGATTCCTCTATATAGATCTTTATATCACTAGAGGGGTCACCAGCAGGAGGAAGGAGGTCCTGATTCCTCTATATAGATCCTATCACTAGAGGGGTCACCAGCAGGAGGAAGGAGGTCCTGATTCCTCTATATAGATCCTATCACTAGAGGGGTCACCAGCAGGAGTAAGGAGGTCCTGATACCTCTATATAGATCTGTATATCACTAGAGGGGTCACCGGCAGGGGGAAGGAGCAGGGGCGGACTGACCATTTGGAAACTCGGGCACTGCCTGAGGGCCCGGGCTCAGTAGGGAGACCCATGAGATGCCCCTGGTACCTTTTTCATAGGCTTTTTTGATTTTGGGCAAGGACACCGGGGCCCCATGATCCCCTATTGCCCGGGGGCCCCATGCGTTGTCAGTCCGCCCCTGGCTGATTGTGATGGACTCCCTTTCTGTTGTATATAGGTTTTTGGAGGATGAGGATCACTAGCGAAATCACCACCAGGAGAAAGGAGGTCCTGATTCCTCTATATATATCTTTATATCATTAGAGGGGTCACCAGCAGGAGGAAGGAGGTCCTGATTCCTCTATATAGATCTTTATATCACTAGAGGGGTCACCGGCAGGAGGAAGGAGGTCCTGATTCCTCTATATAGATCTTTATATCACTAGAGGCCTCACCAGCAGGAGGAAGAAGGTCCCGATTCCTCTATATAGATCCTATCACTAGAGGGGTCACCAGCAGGAGGAAGGAGGTCCTGATACCTCTATATAGATCTGTATATCACTAGAGGGATCACCGGCAGGAGGAAGGACCAGGGGCGGACTGACCATTTGGAAACTCAGGCACTGCCTGAGGGCCCGGGGTCAGTAAGATGCCCCTGGTACCTTTTTCATAGGCTTTTTTGATTTTGGGCAAGGACATGATCCCCTATTGTCCTGGGGCCCCATGATCCCCTATTGCCCGGGGGCCCCATGCGTTGTCAGTCTGCCCCTGGCTGATTGTGATGGACTCCCTTCTGTTGTATATAGGTTTTTGGAGGATGAGGATCACTAGCGAAATCACCACCAGGAGAAAGGAGGTCCTGATTCCACTATATAGATCTTTATATCACTAGAGGGGTCACCAGCAGGAGGAAGGAGGTCCTGATTCCTCTATATAGATCGTTATATCATCAGAAGTGTCACCGGCAGGAGGAAGGAGGTCCTGATTCATCTATATAGATCTTTATATCACTAGAGGGGTCACCATCAGGAGGAAGGAGGTCCTGATTCCTCTATATAGATCTTTGTATCACTAGAAGGGTCACCAGCAGGAGGAAGGAGGTCCTGGGTCCTCTATATAGATCCGTACATCACTAGAGGGGTCACCAGTGGGAGGAAGGAGGTCCTGATTCCTCTATATAGATCTTTATAACACTAGAGGGGTCACCAGCAGGAGGAAGGAGGTCCTGATTCCTTGACTCTATTTTTGTGTATTCACTGCACACACAATTTGGATTACACACATGTCCACGTGCATTATGGGCACATAATAAATACAGTGAGAATACGATTTGGCAATCTGCGCACGATCGACGCCATGACATACAAGCCTACGGTTTAGTGAAATCTCATTATCTTCACATTCCAGGGCTGAGTAGATCCTTTGTATCTTCAGTGTTACATTCAGTTTGCTTTTGTAGGTTCCATACATAAACACATATACCGTGTGCGCACACCCACACACACACACACATACATAGGGGGGTGTGAAATAATTTCATTTATTACCCAGTAATTGCTCCCCAGAACGTTCCCTCCGTCCTGTCAAACAGAAGCCGGTATTGTCATGCTTACCATTATTATTTGTCATTTTCTCACATTAAGTGGGATTTGTGATTTTCTCAAGTTATGTGGGATATTATTAATCAGGCATGAAAAATATTTTCACAGTGTTAGTGGGAGAGATGAAATAGAGAAAATTACCGTAAAAGAAGCAGCGCGGAGTACAGCTAGAGAACAAAGACTGTTTATACAGTATGTGGCTGATATAATTGAATTCGGTCAAAAATTAATTTATGTTGCTTCTGCCCATTAATGTGGGAAGGAGGGTAACTAGCACTGTCACTGACCACCAGTGTGTGTGAGCACCAACCACCAAGGGGGTTATTATTGTGATTACTTTCGCCAATGCTGGGGGTTATTATTGTGATCACTTTCGCCAATGCTGGGGGTTATTATTGTGATCACTTTCGCCAATGCTGGGGGTTATTATTGTGATCATTGTTGCCAATGTAATAGGTTATTATTGCAGTCACTGAAACCAATGCTGGTGACTATTATTGCAGTCACTGGCACCAATGCTGTGGATTATTACTGTGCGACCAACACATTTTCGGGGTTACTATTGTATTCACTATCACTAATGCTGGGGGATTGTTATTGTGGCAACTGACTCATGCTGGGGGTTAATATTGCAGGCACTGACACCAATGCTGTGGATTATTACTGTGCAAACCAACACATGCTCAGGGTTATTATTGCAGTCACTGACACCAATGCTGGGGGTTATTCATGCGATCATTGACAACATTGCTACAATTTATTATTGTGGTCTCTGTCACCATTGTTGGGGGTTATTATTGTGATTACTTTAGCCAATGCCATTGGTTATTATTGTGATCACTTTTGCCAATGCTGGGGGTTATTATTGTGATCACTGTCGCCAATGCTGGGGGTTATTATTGTGATCACTTTTATCAATGCTGGGGGTTATTATTGTGATCACTTTCACCAATGCTAGTGGTTATTATTGTGATCACTTTCGCCAATGCTCGGGGTTATTATTATGATCACTTTCGCCAATGCTCGGGGTTATTATTGTGATCACTGTCGCCAATGGTGGGGTTATTATTGTGATCACTGTTGCCAATGCTGTAACTGGGGGGGTTATTATTTATTGTGATGACTGTCGCCAATGCTGGGGGTTATTATTGTGATCACTGTTGCCAATGCTATAGGTTATTATTGCACTCACTGAAACCAATGCTGGAGGTTATTATTGTTGTAACTGGCACCGATGCAGGGGGTTATTATTGCTGTCAAGGAATCCAAAACAATGGCCGCCGACCGTCCACAGGGGCCGTGCGGTGTGATGTCACAGGGTATAAGGTAGGTGTGAAGCAACTCCCTAACGCGTTTCATGCGCTTGCACGGTTTCCCTTTGAAAACGTGCAAGCGCACGAAATGCGTTAGCGAGTTGCCTCACACCTACCTTATACCCTGTGACGTCACACCGCACGGCCCCTGTGGACGGCCCGGACCGGCCATTGTTTTGGATTCTTTGTCAGCAGCTGCTTACCACTAATGTAAGTAGCATATTCTATTCCTTTGTTCTATTTACCCCTGTGGATAATAAAGTACTACACTATTAGATCTTTTTGTTGCTCTGGCTCGTTACTTCCAAGCCCCCCCCTCTTCAAGGCTTGTTGGGATCATCTGGTGGCCACATCAGGAATGGTTAATCTCCCCCTGCTGGTGAGACAAGTGCACACCCCCTGACACCTGGAGATCCTGATGTTTGTGATACTTTGCCCAGCTGACGCAAGCTTGATGACCCTCCCAGTGATCCAGTTTTAGTAGGCGGATGACCAGGAGTTGGTTAACACTCAAATGCGCATTACCATTGCGCTTTCTGGTTAGTGCAATCTACACTCATTTCTGTGGGAGGAATATGGTCACGGAAGTCACCAATTTTTTCACCACTTCATTTTGAAATTTTGCACTATGTACCACAAGAACACTCTTGCTGGAGATATCTGTTGCTATTTGTGAACGTTTAGACAGTTTTATCATTTAGTGGTGTTCACTATACCATTTTAATATGTACCATCTATATTTATACAT